GGGGGGGGAGAGGGAAAACACGTCTGGTTTCACCGTAGAATAGCAAGAAAAAATAAAATAAAAATGATGTGAAACAATAATAATAATCACTCCTTCTTACTAATGGCCTAGCATAAAGCAATATGATCATCATCCATCATGTTTGTTAGTAGCTTAAAATACTTAATTAAAACTCCAGTAGTGGGCTAGGTTTACTGTAGGTCGAGCAAACATGTAGCATAACAGTATGGACAGCATTCAGGAATTGTTTCTATAAGAACATTGTCAAATATTTTACGTGAATGGTAAGATTGCTCCACCCACAAGGAAGTGTAACCCAGGGTGAGCCAACCTCAGACAAAGAAACAAACAAAAAAGATAGCTGTAATGGTGTGGGTAGTGAAGCTCACGGCATTACCTGAGGCATTTATTTCTTATCGACCAACATTAAGACAAAGGAGACAGAAAAAAAATCTAAGCTGCTAATAACTTAAAATAGTTACTGCAATGGATGTTTTCTTGCTGTAGAGCGACACACAGGGCAAGAGCTCAGTGAAATTCAGTATGTAAGAGTAAATTTTACATTACACAACCTATTAAACTTCTTCTCCTTTCGACTTTCACTCTTCAGGAGTCACCACAGAGTACCGAACTCAGGTTCTTAAATGGCACCCACCGAACTGCACCGGTCGGTGTATGGATTGAAACATCACTCTTTTTTCGGTGTCAAGTTTCGGTATTGGCTGTAACGTGTCACGTAGTTTCAGCATGCATGCAGGTAAAACACCAGACATATGACAAACAGACTACGTGTTTACACCCAGAGCTATATAGAGCTGCCCTGCAGCTTGTATGTCTATGGGGCTGGTTACACTCACAGACGGGGTTCATGTGTGCAGCGCGTGTGTTGTCGAACGGCTTCTGCTTACGAGCAGAAAGTTGCTCCGTGTTTTTCTGCAAGAAGACAGACAGACAGCAGTCTCCCCCCTCCTATACTTCCCTTTCTTTCTAAGATCCTGGAGAAAATAGTTTTCACTCAATTAAACGAGTTCTTGAGTGGAAATTCTATTCTTGAGATCTTTCAGTCTGGCTTTAAGAAACTACACAGCACTGAAACAGCCTTA